TGGAATAGAGAGTCTCTACCTCAATCTGTTAAAAGCCATCTATGAAAAACCAACAGCCAATATCATACTAAATAGTCAAAAACTGAAATCCTTCACACTAAAATCAGGAACAAGACAAGGATGTCCATTATTACCACTTCTGTTCAATATAGTTTTGGAATCATTAGCCACAGCTAGACAAAAGGAAGAAATAAAAGGAATAAAGATGGGAAATGAAGACGTCAAATTGTCATTATTTTCAGATGACAAGATTCTCTATATAGAAGACCCCAAGAATGCCATCAAAAGTCTTCTAGACTTAATAACGAAATTCAGTAGAGTAGCTGGATACAAGGTCAACACACAAAAATCAATAGCTTTCCTCTGCACGAACAACAGACTCACTGAGAGAGAAATAGGGCAAACAATTCCTTTCACAATAGCATCCAAAAAACTTGAAATACCTAGGAATCAACCTAAAGAAAGAAATCAAAGACCTCTTCTCTGAAAACTATAGCACTCTGAAAAGAGAGATTGAAGATGATGTCAGAAAATGGAAAGACATCTCCTGCTCCTGGGTAGGAAGGCTCAACATAGTAAAAATGGCCATACTTCCAAAACTGCTATATAGATTCAATGAAATCCCAATTGAAATCCCAGCAGCATACTTCATGGACCTTGAGAAAACAATCAAAAAATTCATTTGGAACCAGAAGAGACCCAGAATAGCAAAAGGAATTCTGTGGCAGGGGGTATCTCAATCCCCAACTTGAAAGTATACTACAAAGCTACTGTGATTAAAAAAACAGCATGGTACTGGCAAAGAAACAGACTGGAGGACCAGTGGAACAGATTAGAAGATGCAGAAACAACTACAGATATGCTCAGCCACCTCATCTTTGACAAGGGAGCCAACTACCCTTACTGGAGGAAAGATAGCCTCTTTAATAAATGGTGCTGGAAATATTGGGTTTCAACTTGTCAAAGATTAAAACTAGACCTATATCTCTCACCATGCACTAAACTAAAATCGAAATGTTTTAAAGATCTAAATATTAAAATAGAAACGCTGAATTGGCTGGAACAGAGGTTAGGTAGAACCCTTGAAGACACTGGTGTAGGAAAAGATTTTATGAACAAAACCTCAGTTGCCTGTGAACTAGCACAAACAATCAACAAGTGGGATCTCTTCTTATGAAAAAGCTTCTGCACAGCAAGAGAAACCACCAGCAGAGCTAAGAGACAACCTACAATGTGGGGAAAAATCTTCACCTGCTGTTCCTCAGACAAAGGTCTACTATCTTGAATCTAAAAAGAACTTTAAAAAATCAGACCTCCTGAGGGGACGAGCTTCGGGTCTTGCTGTGTTGTCTACGACAGCCTTGAACTCATTGTGTAGGCCAGATTGGCCTTGAACCTCCAATCCTCCTGCCTCAGCCTCCCTAGTGCTGGGATTACAGGCATGCAGCACAATATCCAGCTAATGTTAACTTTTTAAAAAGAAATCTGTTGCTTTTTAGGTTTGGTGCGGTAGAATCCTGCTTGTCTATGAAATGCAGTTAACACATCAGCTGGATATATTTCCCGAATGCAGGGTGACCCTTCTGTTATTTAAAGATGTGAAAAATGCTGGAGACTTGAGAAAAAAGGCCATGGAAGGCAGCATTGATCGTTCATTAATAAATCCTACAGTGATTGTTGACCCATTTCAAATACTTGTGGCAGCAAACAAAGCAATTCACCTCTACAAACTGGGAAAAATGAAGACATGAACTCTATCTACTGAAATTATTTTCAATCTGTCCCCAAATAACAATATTTCAGGAACTTTGAAAAAATTTGGTGTCTCAGCAAGTGACACATCAGTTCTAATTGTTTACATCGAAGAGGGAAATAAACACATAAATCAAGAGTACCTAATATCTCAAGTGGAAGGTCTTCAGGTTTCTCTGAAAAACCTTCCTGAAATAACAAATACTTCAGAAGTCAAAAAGATATATAAATTGTCGTCACAAGAAGAAAGCATTGGGACATTATTGGATGGCATCGTTTGTAGAATGTCAACCAAAGAAGTTCTGTGAAATGTTAGAAATATTAACAGAAATTGTCAGGATTAAAGAAAATACTATTTTTTATTATCTCTACATTTGTATATATTCAAATACATTTTTATATAATTAGAAGAAAAAAATGCCACCATTTATTGAGTGCCTACAGTATACTGGGTTCTTACCTGAGCAATCTTATATCCACCAGTTCACATCGCATCCCTACTTGAGCCTACTCCAACACTTCCCTTCCAAGCTTCTGGATCCTGTTTTGTATTTTATGGGTATTTAATTCTCACAGAAGGCCTACAAAGTCAACAGTGTATTTACCCCCACTTTGTACAAGGAGCAACTAAAAACTTGTAGAAACAATGTGAAAGCCCTGGGTTCAATCCCCAGTACTACAAAAAACAAAAAAGAAAAAAAAAGAGAGAAAAAAGAAAGGAATAGAGGCCGGGGGTTTCTGAAGGGTTTCCTGGTGACACAAATTACTGCAGGGTAAAGGAAGGAACTGTACATTGAATAAAAGTCTTGTTATGTAAAAAAAATTAATTGTAGAAATGTGAAGTCATTTAAGGTCACATAGGTAGAGAACAGTCATGTTTGATAAATAATTGGATTTACTTGGGCTGGGGATGTAGCACCACACGTGCCTTGCAAGCACAAGTCCCTGAGTTCGATCCCTGGTACCAAAAAATAATAATGATTGGATTTTCTTGTCACCTATTTTTTTTTTACAAGCTTGTTTTATTTTTTTGTTTGTTTTTTGTTTTTGTTACTGGGGATCGAACTCAGGACCCTCTGCTTGCGAGGCAGGCAGCGGCACCACTGAGCTAAATCCCCAGCCCTTACCTATGTTTTTGATTGTGTCAGTCAAGATAGATTTGGTCAAGACGCAGCAAACTCGCAGAGCATGGTGGTCCCCTGTGATTCTTACACTCAGGAGGCTGAGGCAAGAGAACTGCTGCGAGTTTGTGACCAGCCTGGGCTACATATTGAGATCCTGTCTCAACAAACAAACAAACAAACAAACAAACAAAAAGACTCACCAAACTGGAACTCTTTTGTGAAGAACAAGACATAAAAATTTTCCTCTTTGCAGACCACGATCCACTGCAACCACACAACTACAAGTTATAGTGCCAAAGCAGCCACACATAAGGACATGCTGGTGTCCCAGTCAACCTTGGTTTATAACACAAGTGCTGGGCAGGATTTGAACAGAGGTCTGTAGTTTGTGGACTTGTGGGTCAGTTAGGCTGCAGTGACAAACAGTTCAAAAGCTAACTGGTTGGATACAACAGAAATTTATGTCTTGCTCTGCAGAGCCATCCTGAATCAGTAGGAAGACTCACTGCAGTGACTTAGGAACCCCCAGGTGCTGAAGGCTTTGTCTCAGCCTGTGCTCCCTGATCCCTTCATAGCTGGAAGGGAGCATAGTGAGTTTCTTAGTAGCTGTAAAGCTTCCATATAGAAGTGATAGATAGTGCTTATGTTTGTTTTTGTTTTGTTTTTTAAAACAGAGTCTCTATGTAGTTCAGGTTGACGAACTCACAGGGATCCTCCTGCTCAGCCTCTGGAGTGCTGAGCTTATAGGTGTGCACCATAACACCTGGCAGATACTGCTTGTTTCATTTTAAATTATTAAAATTTAGATGAAGTTCTTCCCATTACATTTCATCAGGAGGTGCACAATGTCTGTTGGTCCTAGTATGGGTAGGGCTGACTTTGACCACTTGGGTAATGTGCTGCTTTGCTAGATCCCTGTGTTATAAAAGCATGCTTTCCTTCAAAGCTTAGAGAGTTGAAGCTGACCGAAATCTCAGTGCTATAATCAGAATTAAAGTCAAATCTGGGTGACCACAGATCCTTAATGCTGCTGCTTACTGGGCTCAAAAACATTCTTTCCAATTGATGTGCAGTGTACCACATATGAAATTGTTCTATTTTTACATGTCATTTTTAATTTTCTGTTTTTTCTTTGCAAAAAAAATTTGTATATGTTTCTATATTCTTATAATAGCCGCCCCCCCAAAAGTGTGAGTCCAGAATGGCTCCACTTTGCACTCCACACCGTAGGGTATAAGCATGCCCGTGTCATAGTAATCTTGCAAATGATGCCTTCTAACTTCTACACATGTTTGCATTGTGGAATGCGGTACATAGTGAAATTAAACTCATATTTATTAATTTGTACATTATGAAGACAAGTTGTAAGAGTTTTATTTCTGTAGCTATAAATTATGTTTTCAACTTCTTGTGAACCTTTGGATCAGGAAAAATAAAAGTACTGCCAAAGAATTAAAAAAAAAAAATCAGACCTCCCAAATTTAAAGACCCAATCCAAAAATGGGCATCTGAAATGAACAGACACATCTCAGACAAAGAAGTAGAAATAGCAAATAAACAGATGAAAAAATGTTCAACATCACTGGTCATTTGAGAGATGCAAATGAAAACAATGCTGAGATTCCACCTCACCCCAGAAAGAGTGGCTGCTATCATGAAATCAACCAATAACAAATGCTGGCGGGGCTGTGGGGAAAGAGGAACCCTGCTCCACTGCTGGTGGGAGTGTAGACTGGTGCAACCACTGTGGAAATCAGTATGGAGATACCTCAAAGAACTAGGACTGAAAGTCTCATTTGACCCAGCTATTCCCCTGCTGGGGATCTTCCCCAAAGAATTAAAAGAATCATACCACAGTGATATATGTGCGCCCATGTGCATGGCAGCACAGTTTGTAATAGCTAAAACTTGGAAACAGCCCAACTGCCCATCAACTGGAGACTGGATAAAATGTGTGGTGTTTTTTATAAAATGGAGTGCTACTCAGCCATAGAAATGAGAAATGAGAGAGATTTATAGCTAAATGGATGCACATTGAGGCGATACTCTTAAGTGAAATAAATAGGACACATGTGTGTAAATACTGAATACTTTCTCTAGTGTGAGAAACTGAAAGTGTAAATAAGGATTAAAAGGTCTAATAGATAATGTGAAATAGGAAGAAAAGGGGCAAAGGGCAAGGGGAAGTGGGAGGGGTTGGGGAAAGGAAAGAAGGGAATGGAAATAATATGAGAAAATGGAAAAATGGAAACAAACTCTTTGTAAATAGGGAAGAATGGAAGGGTTGAAAGGAGGGCAGGAGAAGGGAGAAAAAATAAGAACCAAGAGAGACTATGTAAAGGTGCAAATTTCCAATGATGAATGTCATTATATTGCATACCTAAAATGTACCAATAAAATAAAATTTAAAAAAAATATACCAGTAAAACAAAAAAATAAACAGTCCTAATGATGTTCCTGTGTATATTATACATAAATATATACATATTTTCTTTATCCATTCATCTCATGATAGACCTGTAGGTTGTTTTCACGGCTGCTATGAAGGTGTAAGTCAGATATCACTGTGACACGCAGACTTCATTTCCCCTGGATTGTACCCAAAGGTGCGATCACTGGATTACATGATGCTTCGAGTTTTTATTTTTCGAGGAACTGCCACGGGTCTTCCTCTAGGACTGTACCAATTTACCTTCTTGTCAACTGTGTGCAGGGCTCCTCTCATCCGCGTCTTTCTTTTCACTTTGTGGTAACAGCCACCTTAACAACAAAATCACAGAGACTAAATTCACGGTGGTCGTCAGGACGAGCCCGGTAATCTGCAGTCTCGCATGCCAACCCCTCTGTCATTTGGATGCCTCTCTGCTGTAGACACTGCTGTGATAAAACCTACCTGTCCACACACTCTACTGTATGGGAAGTTTTAAAGGTGGGTGAGACTATTTTATTTTCTAGTGCTATTTCTTAATGCAAGGAGCTTCTCCTACATAGAATTATGGTTCTTATTTTACTCAATAAGGATTCCAACATGGCCAATGCCGTGTTAACTTTTTTCAATTATTAGAAATGAATGATACAACTTTTTATGGCTAACATGATCTAAGATTAATTATGAGTTAAAGAGACCAGGAAAATATTCTCAAGAATAATATTTCGCCAGCATTCCTGCTTGCTTCCTGGTATTTAACTGTCTAAACATAGCAGAGTACTTCAGTTCTCCTCAGTCCCATCTACCCCCCTGGCTCCAGCTGTCAGCTTACTGTTACTGATTCCCTGATCTAAATTTTCAACCAAAAGCTGCTTCTCAAGCTCTACATCTGCTAGTTTGTCGTCTGCTAATATCCTCATCTCAAAACCCCGGAAGCAGCTCAAATTCCAAACCAAACACATCATGGCTCCCCTCTGTGTAAGTTCTGTCTTCAGTTCCTTCTTCTTGGTAGCCGTGGCAAATCTCACAGGGGTAAGAAGCTTGGAACAGCCAACGTGTTCTTCATTGTATCTTTGTGTGATCTCCAGCCACTTGCGGTGCGTTGTCTGCTCTGCTTCCCACTATTTCCTCTGCCCAGTTATTTCTTCCACACGTGCTAAGAGTCATCATCTTTCACGACAGCTTTTACACTGTGTCCCAATCAGTGTTCTTTTTAAAAAAATTTTTAATCTATCTGCACTGCAATCCCTTCTACACCTACAGCAGATTAATTCCATAAAACACTGCAGTGAGCAGGTCTCTCTGCTCCTGCAACCTCATCCTGCACCTGCCTGCGCTTGGTAGGAGGCTCACTCCTCTGCTTCCAAATCACCTCCTCCAGGTTTCTCTGATGAGCCTGTGTTGAAATCAGTGCCATCCTCCCTGTCTCCCTGCTGCTGCCCCAACTGCAGATGCCCTGAGGCCAATCCTGCTCCTGAGCAAGCTCCGGGGTCACAGGATGAGGCTGTCCCCTGGCTGCAACTAGCTCAGCCTCCTCTGCTTCCTCCCTTCCTCTCCTCATGCGGTGGCCACAAGACTCTCCCTGAAAGCCCCCTGCATGCTGAGTTCGCACTGGCTGCTTCCTGCAGAGCCCAGCCTGCATCAGTTTGTGGGATGTGAAGCAGAATGCTGGGCACCAAGGATAGCAAACACGGGTCTGCCTGCTCCACCAGCCGCTCAGCACAACACCCTCTGTCCACACTGCTTTCACTCATCTTGGATTGTGACCAGAGAACTGTCATACGCTGACTCCTCTTCCGGGAAGACCCTCTAAGAGCAGTGCCCTGCTGCCTTCCCGCCGAACATCAGGGAAGACAGAGCAGGCAGAGAAGAGCTGAAGGTTTCTTTTCAACAGGTGCTCATTACTTGAAAGAAAAAAAAACCGTTGTTTTTTTTTTGTCAGGAGCAATTCTACAGAATTTGGGGGGAAAATCATTTCACAATTAAATTACAATTAGGCCTAGTTTTCCTGGCTACAGGCCGGCTCTGGCATGTCCAGATATAACTAGATTTTTGCCTCCAGTCACAGCTAGAGCCTCAGTGGTCCTGTGATGCTATGATGCTCCAGAACAGGATTACACCAGCTGGCAACAACCTGGGAGAAACAAAATC